CAGTGCCATTGTCCTTGGCTTCTCAGCAGCCCTCATTGTCCGCCATATTCAAAGAGTCCGGTTTTATCCCATGCTTTTTCAGTCACAGTCCAGCTGGCCTTGGTGAGCTCCCAATAGATCAGCCCCACTGTCTCCGTGGGTGGGTGCATCCCTTGTGGTCCTGACTTCTTTGCTCATGTTCTCCCTCTTTCTGCTCCTCAATAGGACATTGGGAGCTCAGTCCAGTGCTCCAGTATGGGTCTCTGTCTCTATCTCCATCCATCGCCAGATGAAGGTTCTATGGTGATATGCAAGATATTCATCAGTATGACTATAGGATAGGGCCATTTCAGGTTCCCTATCCTCAGCTGCCCCAGGAACTAACTGGGGACATCACCCTGGGCACCTGGGAGCCCCTCTAGCTCCAAGTCTCTTGCCAACCCTAAGATGGCTCCCTTAATTAAGATATGTGCTTCCCTGCTCCCCTCTCCAACCTTCTTTTATCCCAACAATCCCGTTTCCCCAAGTAACCCCCATCCTCCCCTTCTCACTTTTCTCTCCCCATCTCCCCTTACCCCCTCCCACCCCACCCCCAAGATCCCAATTTTTTGGAAATTTTGTTTTTAATTGGTACATTAAAACAAAAATTGTATGCATTATTGGAGTACCATTTGGAGTTTTGATATATGCATACCCTGTATTATTTATATCAGAGTGAACATGTGTAACTCCTTAAACACCTATAACTTCGTTATGGTTAAAACCTTAATAATCCTTTCTTCCAGCTTTTCGAAGTATAAAGTCAACTGTTGATTGCTATGGTCAGTCTCCTATGTAATAACAGCCTACCATAACTTCTTCCCCCATCAACCTTTAATTCGGAATCTGTTATTGGGCCACTGTTCTTGATTGTTCTATACTCTGCCAGCCCTGGGTGACTGATTCTGTGAAGGAAGACACCTCTTCTTGTGTCTGGAACCCATTGCTTGCGCAGGGTTGTGGGGGCTGCGATCAAACCAGCACCCATAGCTTTATGTCTCAAAACAGCAAACACCCCCAACAAAAGCTCTTCACTCTGAATGAGACTCTTTCTTCACTGAGTGAGTGTGGCCTGGCTCCCTCTCAAATGCAGGCCACTTTTCTAGACGCTGGAGGTACCCCAAGGACCTTTCACAGATTCTCTGAGATTGATGAGTAGTTGTATAACTGAACTCTAGGTCCAGGTTTTTATTCTCTTCTTGATAATCTTATTTTCACCTGGAGTTTCAATGATGGATTTCTAAATATTACAATAGACAGTGAAAGCTGTAATTACTTTTGAAGTTCTGGTAAACAATCTGCTGATGAAAAAATAGATATTTTTATTATCCTCATTTTGTGGATGAGGGAGCCCATGTAATACACACTTACAAACTTGCTTAGCCTCATAAAGAAGTGCCAGCCCAGCTGGGATTCCATCAAGGCCCTGACTTCAAATTCTGTGAGCAAGATGACTTACTCCTCCATTCAAGAGCTCATGACAGAGCGGGCCCAGCGCTGTAGCTAATGCAATCCAGGAATACTGTTGAGAAGTTAGTCTCAATAAGCTGCCCTCAGTGATAGTACTGTCTGTTTTGAAATTACCTAGCAGTTACAAAGGTTAAGGTCTGGAATTTTCCTCTAAGGGAGTAGGGAGAAAAGAAAGCTTTTTTTTTTTTTTTTCACCAACATTATTTTCAGGAAGATTTGAGGATTTGGATTCCGACAGTGAGTATATTCAAATCCTCAGGTGAGTTAGCAGGACCATTGTTGAAGTACATTGGATTGGACTCTCAGTCTCTAGGGTTCAGATTGTCTCCAGAAAATTTTTACCTGTCTTTGCTACCAGAAGCCCCACTTTCTTAGCTTGAGAACACACAGGTAAAAGGTGGTAATCACGAGATGGCCAGACGACAGCGTGCTGATAGCTGGTCAGTGCCCGTGGCCCTTTGAAAAGAGTAAATTACCTCTGTGGTTTCTGTTCTAGCTGCTGTCTGTTTCACCAGCCTTCTTGCTTTGAGAATATTTCCTTTTAGACTAGCTCAGAACATTCCACATGAGCTGTAATGCTTTAAGATTTCTGTTCTTTAAGCTAATGCTGTCATATAATGTCTGGACAAATTTGTGTGCACGTTGTATGTATAGCTAACAACAAATGACCCATAACTAGGTAGAGTTATTTTGTTGTCGGGGTTAGAGGACAAATCTCCTCTCCCAAACCTGCCATTTACTGTTAGGGTAAACTTGAACAAGTTCTGTGGCTCTCTTATCCTATTTTGTAATGACCATATTATTTTCTTTCTATTTTCCTGAGTTATAAAAGAAGAGTTATATGTAACATTTGGAAATCAGTCTCTTAGTTTCCAAGATCAACACATGGGGTTCACTGTTTTTCTGTTTACCATTATGGTAATGTCATTTTCCTGTTTCTTGAACTTTGAATTTTTCTTCTTGTTATGCTACCCTTATAAGTTGAATTTTCAAATTTCAGATACAAAATAAAGATAGAAGAGTGATTTTTTTCCACATTATCTTTAGTACTCACTAGATCCTCTTGTTTTCTTGTCCCAAAACAGTTAAAATCGGTCTTATGCCGGTTGAGACCCTGCCTTGATTTAAAATGATCTAAAAACAATATCTGATACTTTAATATCTGTAAGTAAATGGATAGGTGATATCTAGATATCTCTGGCTCAGGTTTCAAAGTGTTTTCTGTTGCACATGTATAAGAAATAGTAGGAAATTTTGGGGTTGATGAGGATAGAATAGAAATTACAGACTGTTATCTCTATAGATGTAAAACCTTTAACAGAATAGCAGCCATAAAGTGAATACTATGTTTAAAACATAATACCACACCATCCTGAAGTGAACTTTCCTCCAGGAATATAATTCATTTAACACACAAAAATCATTATACTTAATTAATCCCATTAGTGAATTAAAGGAAAAAATCATATGTTAATCTCAATAGGAACCAGAAAAACATTAGTTAAAATTTAATTCTCCTTTATAATTAAAAATGTCTATCAAACTGTGAGTGGAAGGGAGCATCCCCACTGTGGTTAAGGATATCAACATGTTCTTCTGAGGTCCGAGAACGGTAAGGATGTCTGCTTTAACCACTTCTGTGTCTGACCATAGTATCTGTTATCTCACTTATTGCCAGAGTTGATTCCAATGATCTGATTGGCTAGGGTGTGTCTGTTCTTCACCGTTCCCTGTGTGTTCTCCCCAAAGCTCAATGAGGATGACCTTCCTCAAGGGAAGAGATCTGTTCTTGGGTCAAGGGTGTATGAGTATATGTGTTCTCCTACTGAAAGCTTCCCAAAGCTCCCAAGGTCTGCAGTGTTGTATTGCGTGTGCTAACCAATGCCACAGGCAAGAAAAATAAATTTGAAAAAATCCATGTGCTTGGAAATAAAAAAATGAAACTGTTTTTGTTTCTAAAGGCTATAATTGTATATATAGAAACATCTACTTAATTTTAAAAAAGGATATCAAACAAATATTGTTAAAGTAATTTATTGTAGTTCATTGTATGAACAAAAAAGGTAGAAAGCGGCCTATCTGCTAGCAAAAAAGCAATACTGTTTAAAGTAACATACACATATATAAATTGCTTGGGAATATATTTAATTACAGTTATAGAGAATCTTTATACTGAAATCTACAAAATGACCTCTAAGAAAAATATAAAAGGTATTTTAATAGTTTATACTTATTTCCATTACATAGTTGGCGACTTTGTCCCTCTACATCCACTTTGTCCCTCTACATCCACTTTGTCCTCTACATCCACTTTGTCCTCTACATCCACTTTGTCCCTCTACATCCACTTTGTCCTCTACATCCACTTTGTCCCTCTACATCCACTTTGTCCCTCTACATCCACTTTGGTTTTCCCAATTCCTATCAGAACATCCCATTAAGCTTTTCTTACAACATTCTAGCATGTTCCAAATTCCAAATATATTCCTTTCACAAAACCAGTTCCAAAAGGTCTGTGAACTGCGTTGTCAGACTTACCATCGGAATGGCCCACTCCTCGGCACCTACATGTTTTCTCCATTAGTTACATTGTTCATCACTGTGACCAAAAGTTCATCAGACGAAATTTAAAGTGAAGAGCTGTATTTGGCTCGTATTTTGGGATGGTAAAGTTTATCATAGCACAGAAGCTATGGTAGCTGGTAGCTCCATGGTACTGAGTAACTGCAGACCTCTCATTTTGTCAAGGAAGTAGATGCAGGTCAGCAAGCTACAGACCTCAAGGCCCGCCCCTCCCTACTGAGATCCACTTCCTCCAGTGAGGCCTCATTTGCCCCAGGTTCCACCTCCTTCCCAGTGCCACCATTCATGAACAAAGTACTTAAACTTAGAAGTCCATGGAGGGTGGTTTATATCCAAATCCTTATGTCTTTTATCCATGTTTTACATGGTTTCTATCTTCAGCAATGGCAGAACACCTGATTGTTAATATGTCATAGTTTATTTTCTAGTTATTTTATTTTATGTGTTTGGGTTTTTTTTTAAATTCTATTGAATTTTTTTCTGCAGTATATTTCATTCATACTGTTCCCTCTTCTAACTCTTCCCAGATACTCCCCACATCCCTACCTAGTCAGCTTCACGCTCCCTCTCTGAAAAGATGAGGGAAAAAAAGAAAATCAAATGTCAAACTAAAAGAAAATTAATACTAAAACAAAACAAAAAGTGCACAAAAAACATGGAGTTCATTTTGTGTTGGCCAGCAATTCCTGGGTCCTTCCCTGGAGTGTGGTTGATGTGCCCAGTGGCACGCTGTCAGAGAAACTGATCTTCCCTTTCCAGCAGATACTAATTCAGATAGTTTCCTGGGTAACAGTGGGGTTTTGTTTCTACTTCCCTTTCCCAGAACTTGGGTTTTGTCCACTTTGAACCTCTCTGGGTCTTGTGTGTGCTGTCCTGTTATGTCTGGAGAGGGGTTTGATAAAAACATCCCATTCAGAGCTGAGTGCTCCAAAGTCTCTCGCTCTCTGTACATTTGTACAGTTCTACTGCCAAGGCTCTTGGTTACTCTTCATAATCTAATAGTAAGTGTGTATTGCTGAAGACACAACTTCCTAATGCCATCAAACACGGAGAAATTGAGCTGGTGCCAGCTAGAAGCTTTGCTCCTCCTGACTAGCACCCCTGGTGCTGGAAGATACTTTGCACACCACCAGAGGAGAAAAGTAATCTTCAGTATCCCTACAGCGAAGACCTGTTTGCAAGGTGTACTGGTGTAGTAACGGCACA